TTAACCAGTCAAATCATAGTGTCCAAGCAAGCTTAAACGGCCACATGTAAGCTGCAATTTGGATCAACGTCATGCCAACACACTGGGCTTTCTTATTCCTAGTGTACTCCAGTAGCAAATCGGGGAGAAAAGGGGGGGAAAAAAAAAAAATAAATAAAATAAATCGGCTGGTTGTCAAGTAATTCCCACTCCTTTATTGTCCCAAAAGGCCTTCGGGAGAGCCAAGCTCTGGGCCGCGCAGCCAGTCCCGCCGCTGGGAACGGTCACCCACCACAACAAAAATCCCAAATGAAAAAAGAAATCTCCACCCGCACGGAGAGCGACCCGGTCCGACAGCGCCCCTAGACCCCGGGGGAGCTGCGGCAAAGCTGGCGGCGCCGAGAGCCCCAAGGGACCCACCCGACGGTCTGCCACCGCCCAAGAGCCGTGAGTGGGGCGAAACTGGTTCCCATTCGCCCCGCCAGCCTGGGAGCACAAAAGGATGGGTGAAGACCTGGAGATGCTTTAGCCCTGCGGTGTCACCGCGGTGGAAGGGGGGGGGGGGGGGTTCACGACCATTTTAAAGGGCGCTTTTTGCAGCAGGGAATGAGGTGCATGAGCTCCGGAGAGCCGGGTCAGGCACGATGGGCTTTAAACCCGTCCCCTCCATCACCGACCAGCACGGGCACCTCCTGCCCCTGGATCCAGCCCGCCACGCACGGGCTCCCTACCCTCCGGCTTGCTAAATTCCCCCGTCAAGTTTCGACCTCATCCCAGTTTGCATCCCCCCATTCCTGCTCGTGCCTTTGTTATACCCAAGCAAGTGACACCATCAAACATCAGCCTATGGCGGTGCCGCCTTGGCCCCGCACAGACCATGATTGGTCACCTAGGAACACCAAAAGATGATCACATAGTCTTGCTTCCAGCCCCTGATTGGACAAAAGGCGCTTTCTTCTCCCCCTTGAACGAAGACACCGGCCAATGGTGGATGGCACATGGCAGCTCACCAGTGCTCACCCAGCAATAAAAGTCCCTCGTCCCCCGCGCACTCGTCCCTGGGCGAGCCACCGCACCCCTTCACGCAAGGGCTTACGGGCCACCGCTCAGTGCGGGTGTCCGCCCGCAGACACGTCCCAGTCCGTGAGCCTGGCGGGCGCCGGCTCGACTGGCAACCGTTCTCCTCCCGGCTCGGTCTGCCTCGGAGGGATGAAGGAGGAGAGCTCCGGGCGGTGACGTCCTGCTGCCACCAAAGCCAAGGGTGTCCAACTTCATCCTATAAGACGCTCGGGGCGCGAGCATCCGTGGAGGATGCTCTCTCCCCTTCCATGGAGGATGCTCTCTCCCTTTCCATGGACCAAGGCTCGGATGCTTTCTGGAGCTGGTTCTCTGTTGCCCTGTCCTCTGCAATGTCCCCCTCCGGCTGGGGACAAGCCACCAGGCCAGGAGAGTGGCACTTTGCGCTCGCCCAAGGGAGGAACGGCAGCAAGGCAACAGAGAACAGGGAATAAAATAAGAGCTTGTAAAAAAAAAACTTCCCTACGCCCCTGCCACCGCCGGCGTGGGCTGCAGGAACAATAGCAGCACCTAGATGAACCTCGAAGGGAAGACAGAAAGGAGGTTTTCCTTCAGCTTTCCCCAAGCAGATCATTATAGGGAATTAACACATGCCCTAAATTATTCTGAATTACAGGGCCAGGGGTGAGGGGGTGAAAAAATATCTTGTTTATTAATTTAATCATATGAGCAGGATAAATCTTTCACATTACACCCAGAACTACAGCCTTTCCCCGGACAAGGTACCAGGGACAGTTTCTTCTGCCCCCCCCCCCTTTTTTTTTTTTTAGATCCCAGTGAGCACACGAGCGAAACGAGCGGGTCCAGCACGGGTCCAAAGTCAGCTCTTTTTCTACGTCTCTCACAAGGGGGTTTTCATAAAGTTGCAATGCTATAATTGCTCCTTTCCACAATTAGTTCAGGTGCTGTCACCCGTATTTGTTCTTTATTGTTATGAAATCTTTTTTTTCCCCCTTTCCCTTGGAGTCACCGTTCTGAGATTATATATTATCTTAATCCGTCACAAGATCTTTGTGTTCTTCTAAGCAACATCAAGACACCTTTCCAAATAGGTTGCTGTATTTTGCAGGTGGCACCTAAGGCAACCAGTCTGACCATTAAAAGCAAGTGGGAAGCACCCAGTTCACCTCTTTGACCCAAATTTCCCTTCTATAGTAGAGCAGGTAGAAAAAAAAAAAATTAAATCTCAGTTTCCATAAGGAAGAGGTTGACATATAATCCAGTGAAGGGGGTAAGGACCAGCATGAAATTGCAGAGAGGATAAATTAGACAAAATCAAGTTCCCCAATTAGTCTCACGCGGTTTCATACACAAGTTAGATATATACATTTTTTTTTTTTAAATCCCCGATCTTGGAATCTTGAGTCCATTCAAAGAAACGTTCATAGACAGAGGGTTAAAAGAAGAAAGCAAGCATTTGGAGAGAGGTACTAGGGAAGAAAAACAAAGAAAACTGCAAGAAACCATTTTCCAAATCACCATATCCTTCTTTCTAATCCTGATATCAAGTCGTATCTGTCAGGGAAGAAAATTAAACATATAACAGATAGGGAATGGGAGGGGGGAAAAGAAAGAAGAAAAAAGAAAAAGAATCCAGCGCTCGTATTTGCAAAACAGCCATTAATAAACATTGCTCTGTTGCTGCTTTATTAAACAGATAATCCAACACAGTAATCTGTATTGATTTATGGATTCTCTGATGCTATATGACTGGTTACGCAATGAAAGTTCATCCTTGATCTGTAGTCTGTGTCCTGGACTTAACTAATTCATAATCTGATTGGAAGTGTTACTTTGTTAATTCAATTACAGTTAACAGCCGAGGAGAGAGCGGCAACATCCTCGTCTTTCTCAAGACGGACGTTTTCTTCACATGCACAGAATCAGTAAAACTCTTTCTTAAAATCACAGGAGGCAAATAGGTTCTTTTAAAAAAAAAAAAAAAAATCCTACCTCGGGTTTTAATTCCAGTCTCAAAAAGTTGTCTTTTTTCCCCAGTTTTTTTTTTTCCGCCTCTCATTTCCTTTCTCTTCCTTTCTTTCCATTTCATTTTTTTTTTCCTTTTCCTCCTCTTCCTTTTGATGAATTTCCTTTCTTCTCCACATCCTCCTCAGGCGTGTAATGGGGTTATTTTTACTTTCGGTTATCTAGCTTTATGAAGAATTGACACCACTCATACAGCTAGATAACCAAAGATAACAACCAACCCCTGAAGTCTACAGCATTAGCAGGAAAAAGCCAACCTCTTCTTCTCCAGGGGGGTCGGGGGGCACATGGCTTTTAAGGGAGGAACGAGGGAGGAAAACGAATAAAAAGAGATGCAAATATTAGCAGCGAGATCCATAATATCAGCACACAGCTACAGCGGTGGCCCTGTTCCTGCGACCCAGGGCAGAGCTCTCCCGAGCATCAATGGGACAAGCAGGATCGGGCCCCTCGAAAATACAATTTTCAGCAGAATTGCAGGCTAGCCACGCAGGAGCAGCCTATTTTCTGCCGAGTTTAAATTTGTTTCATTTGCAAACCAAATGATCCTCTGCAGGTGCTGGGAATTAAGCCCGCATTATTTTTAATAACTATCAAATTAATGCATTCAAACTGGTAATAATCAAAGCAAATATAATTTGCGCCCGCAACTTAAAATACGCATCAAAGACCAAAAGGACATTTCCCCACCCAGAAATGCGTTTAACGCTCCCTAAACAAAATGACTGCGAAAAAACCTGCCGGTTAAAAGAAAGAATAACTTGTGACGCTTTGGATTCAGCCAAGATCTGGGGGAACAGAAGCGATGAATAAACACAGAGGAAATGATGAAAGGGAGGGAAGGGAAGAAAGAAGGAAGGGAGCGACTCCTGCTCGCAGCTCAGTACCCCGGCCCTGCGCGCA